CAACAAATAAAGTTGAATTATCTTTGAAGAGTCATAAGAAGAGATGTCTATAGTTTGGATGGATCTGTTAGTTCATGATGTGTGAAGACACTAAAATATATACAGAACAGCCATATACTGTGTAAGAAGACTAGGGCTGAAATAAATGGATTGGTGACAATGAGTTGCAAATTAAGTTTGCAATAGCAAAGCAATTGGAATCGATATGAAAAAGCCATCTGAAATTAAGACTACCATTCCTTACTGAAAATATTTGAGTATTTCCAGGAATACAATGTGTAGTTCAGAACAGTTTGTGTCCTGAGAAAAAGTAATGAACTGTGTTTTAGGCTTCTACTTTAGATATAGATCACCTAAGCGTTGGAAAGTTTCTCAGTGAAGTACAAGAAACAAGACATTATTTGATTATTTGGAGGCCTGAAAATGGCTAATCAGATAGGCTGCTTTGTCTCCAGATTCTGTAGCACTGCACGTAATATGAGTGGGAACAGAGAAATTTACTGTGAAGCCACTAATGATAAGGTATTAAGCCAGAAAAAGGAAGGAGAAAATCATGCGCTGTATTGAAAGTAAATTTGATTTATGCAAACAGATATTCTTCTCATGTATATTCAATTTGGTAAGTACTGAAAAAGACAAAGAAGTTTAAGGAGAATAGCAAAAATGCCAGGGTGTCCAGTGCCAGAACAATATAGCCTATAAGTTAGCATAGAACAAAGACAAAAAAAAGCGTTTACTTAAGTCAATTGGAGAGAATAACAAACAAAATTGTTTCAGGTATGGTCATTTAGTCCACAATTTGTTATGTATAGTTAAGGCCAATTCTCTCCTCTTCAGATTCCTTCTGCAGAGCCCAGTGAAGCACCATAGCACCTCCTGGCCCCCTGCATCGCTGGAAAAAGCAGCAGCAGTTTGAGAGCAGGGGCTCGCTCTGTGTTAGGTGAAAGGTGGGGATTGGAGTGGTCACCGTTCACAAGGATTAAGATAATGTCCCATCCACTTCTTCACCTGACATCTGAGATTCGATTCGACCTGTCGAGGTCTGTCAGTTTAACAGTTGCTCATCTTTTCACTAAAAGAGACATCCTCACTCATGAAAAGAGTGTCTCATCAAGTACTGTGTTGGAAGTATGTTGTCAAAAAGAATTGCTTTTTGCAATAGCTGAGCATGAGCTAATAAAATAGGCATTTTTAAAACAAATACCTTGATCACAAAGCATGCGCTAGATGCTACTTCTTGAGTAAAGAAAAAAGTAAAGAAAAACAAAGTGGTCTGACACCATATTAAAACATCAGCCAAGTGCTCAGGAAGTTTTACCAAAGCCAAGCCGGGCTGTTGTGCTCTGTCTTTGTGCCTGTGTTCAGGCATACTGAACCTATCTTAATATTTGCCACTGGCACCGATTCTCTTGGCCAGAGATGCATGGTCCCTGGGAAGAATCTCTCCTCCTCTGGCTGAAAGCTCATCTTTTGCCTTATGACTGGCACGTCTCACGCAATAATAATGGATTTTAAAACACATCCCCCCTCTCCACATAGTGTCAATGCAGCCTGATCTAGTGAGAGATGTCCCTGCCATGGCAGGGGGGTTGAAACTAGGTGATCTTTGAGGTTCCTTCCAACCCAAATCATTCTGATTCTATGATCCCCCTTTTCCCTGTAATGTGTTTGGTAGCAAGAGTATCTTACCTGTCTAAACAAGAGAAAGCGTGGACTGGGCTGTCAGTTGTCCTTGCAGGTGAGGCTCTGTGGAAGGAACATTAGGACTTAATGAAATTTAAGGTACATCAGGAGATCGGTCCAAGCAGACAGTGCTTGTTTAAATAATAGCATATACTTGGTGTTACAGGACTTGTCTTGATGTGGACTTATTGGTGAGACCAGACCTTTACCTTTTTCATCAGGCTTTGAGGAGCATTACAATAACAGTGGTGACAACCTCTATTTATTTTACCTGTGCTCTGGGATGAGGAAAATCACGTGCGTGTTTGATGTGTTGGTAATGAATTTCTTTTGTACCAGGCAAATGCTGCAGAATGTCTCGTGAAAACATCCTAATTAAGGAGTGGATTTGAGTAGACATACAATCTCCAAAATATCAGAAGTTCCACTCAATTTAATGTACATCCAGCAGCTCCCAAGAGAGTGTTTCAGAATCACTGAGCTTCTGTTTAGCAAAATGGGGATGAGCGTAGGGGCTCTGAAGGACTGTAAATGAAAGATCACTTAACTCTGGAGGAGTTGACTCCTGAATGTTTTAAAGCAAGCTTCTTTCTCAGTAGCTTTTTTAAACATGTGTAAAGCAGATAATCATATTGTGCAGAGCCTTCCACAGGTCTGTTCAAATAGTCAAAAACCTTTTCAAGATTTGTAAATGCCCTGTGATCCATGTGACGCAGGTGTTGAAATCACTTGAAAAGTGGCTGTCTGGTTAAAGTAAATATTTCAGTGTGTTTTTATTTGAATATTCATTTCTCTCTACACTCAAGATTCCCTGAAAAAAGGAACATAAAAGTAAGAAAAGTATTCGTTTTTAAAGAGAGGTGAGTTATTTAAAAATTAATGTGTACTAAAAGCAATCAAATTACCTTAGCTATGTCATATTTGATGAGTTAAAAAGAAAATAAAATTTATTTTTAAAATACAATCCTTGAAATAAACAAGTTGGAGCCAATGGGAAGCTCCTTGCTATGTACAGCCCTGCCTTAGGAATCCAATGTTTGTGGCCCTTTTCCTACAGTGTCATGGTTCTCACAGTATTTTGGAGAGATTCAGTGTTGGCAGATCTGTGTATCTGCATAAAATGTCCCTGAAGTCTATGGGACATTGGTGATGGGCTTGTCAGAATGAATCAGATTATAAAACTGAGGTTTAAAATGGGAAGATGCTACGCACTGGTCCTTGACTGCCTGATCTCTGCCTGCTGCATGCTAAACAGCTTCTCCGAAGCCAGGACTCTTGGCTCAGTGGTATTTTTAAGATTTTGCTGGGTTTTATTCCTCTTGCCTCATAAAAATTCTTATATACCAACTAGTCTCTGCTTAGGAGGGATTGTGGTTTATTTTACTATGTTCAGCATACATATGCAGGCACAGATTTACTAGGAGAAAAGATCAGGATATTTCGCCTCCCTCCTTTCCCCCAGTGGTGACAGCCTTTCAGCAAGGACAAGCACACTCCAGAGGACTGTTGCCTCTCGTTAATTTTCAGGGTAAGGCTGTGAACACAGTTCCTGACCTGCTCCCCCAACACCCGCCTCTCCCAGCTCTGCATTCGTCAGGTCGCAGGTCTGTCCACTGCCATGCTTTTTCCTTCATTGTAGAAAAGAAGCAATCACACAGTAGGTGTTTTGATTGTATCCAGGCCACCGCTATTTTTTATCTCCTTTAGAAGCCTTTCTTTTAATATAATGTATTTCTGTGTCCTTAAAGATGGCCTTTCTGGAAGCGTCACTTCTTGAATGGCTTTTCAGTAACAGGTTTGATTTACAAATCTCATGTAAGGATGCATACAGCTGACAAACCCTGCACAAAACAAAGCTGTGTGTCAGGGGCTATTTTTGGAACCAAAAAAAAGTTCAAACTGCAAGAAAATGAGTCGTATCCTGCTTTGCCGGCCGGGTGGAACAACAGCGGAGCTCCCGTTCAGTGCAAGACAAGCTGCAAGCTTTTTGCACCTTCTGTTAAACCTACCAAGAGGCCAGGAGAACCTTTCTTCTTCAAAGTATGTTTGGGAAGAGCTATTTGGCATAATAGAGATTGACTATGGGAAAGGTTTCCTAGAGAAACTAAACTGCTTTTTATACTTTTCAGTGAATCTTTTCCAGGTGCTTTTTCTAGATAAGTGTTGCTACAGATTGGGCTGTATCAGTGAGTGCTCTGGCAGGAACTACTTTGACTGATGTTGGGACCAGTGGTACCCACCAGTGGTATGTCTGCTCCCAACCACCGATGAGATCCTGAGCCTGCCCCCTAAACAGTCTGCCCTTTTTTAATCTCTTTAAGGATGTTAACTTCACCCTACCTTGTAATGAAAGTATGGAGTTTAGTTTACAAACATGAACTGGGTGTAACATGGAATTACTCTATTGCTTATTGTAGATGACAGGCTCTGAAACAGTACCAGGTGATCACTTTTTAATTTCCTGTTAAAAGGAGAGGAAGAGTTCTGGTTTTCCCCCCCTTCCTATTTTCTATCTTTCTTCCCCTCACCTATTTGGATGCTTTTCAGGTCCTTGGGCTGAAGGAATAGGATTTTAGTTCACTTCTGGCAAACATTTGGAGCTGAATTCCCAATCGACTGCGGTACTGAATCTTCAGTCTTGGTAGATCCACAAAAACTCTGATAGGCCATCATTCCTGCCACAGCCAGTTAATTGTTCTTTGGTGATCCTTCTCCTAACACTGTTGACTTCACTGAATGCCAGGTGCAATCTTTAACAATGTATATTAATATTAATTAACAGCACCTTCTCAATTCAAGGCCTTCTGTTACAGGACGAGTTCCTAATGACCTGGTACTTGGGCTGTGACACTTCAGCCTGGCAATTTTTTAATTCTCCTCAACAGCTGTATCGTTGTTGTGACTTACGTATGTGCTTGAACTTTAGTTTTAAAAGCCTTTGGTTTGACATGAGGTGTTGTTGTAGTAAGTAATTTTTATCAATGGTCTTTTGTTTCTTTTTTATTAGCTCATGGAAGAGACATTTGGGCTTACGTTTTCTAGGTACTGAAGAACAAATCGTTTTCTCCTGGAGCTCCATAGCTGGAGGTTTCAAGCATTTTTTCTGTGTTAGCACTGGTACATGTTAGCATTCTCATTTTGTACAACACAAATAAGCTTGACGTTAACTCTCTAAGTGAATGAATTAGCCATAAGACTGAGCATGTTTTGTCTCCAAAGCTCAAGATTACCATGCTTTCCATCCTGAGATACATCCTTTTATCTTAGCTTTGAGCCTAGCTAAGTCAATGCTTAACACAGTACTCTCTTAATTCCAGTCCTACATGGAAGATCATCTGAAAAACAAGAACCGTCTGGAGAAGGAATGGGAAGCTCTATGTGCTTATCAGGCAGAACCCAATGCTACCACTGTTGCACAGCAGGAGGAAAATATGCAGAAGAATCGCTCACGGGCTGTAATACCATGTATGTACGCTTTAATTTGGGTGTTTTCTTTTACAGTTCTTGACACTGTTCTCAGTATCCTTTGCATGGTGATTTGAAAGCCACAGATGACGGGAAGGCAGAGTAGTTTGTATGTAGGCTAGAAAACTGTAGGTAGAGCTATGGGCTGGGTGCATGTCCTGTTGTCATATCAGGCACTGTTTATCTCCTAAGTTGCACATGTGTTACAAAAATGCACAACTATGTCACACAGCACTGCTGCTGCAGCTGTGCTGTCCCATAAAATTCAGTAGCCAGAGTGCTTTTCAATCCTGGAATGTACTTTCTGTACAAGAGTGACATCTGTAGCCATTCAACAGAAAGAAGTCTGGCTTGTGTTTAGACAAGTTGGTATCATGTCCATCCAACAGTAATACCAGCAGTCTATAATCAGAGCTAGATGATCTGTTTATCAGATACTCAGCTGTACTGAATGAGCCCCTTTAGGCTGCAGTGGATAAGCTTGCAAACTGGCTTCTCTTCTAGGCTTCGGATAAAAAGAGAAAAGCGGGAGCGGGGGGAAGCAGCCAGTGTCTATATTCCTAGAATCTGCTCTTTCCTGTAAGCAGCCACCTTTCTGAGCTTCTAATAAAAGCAGCATATTTTTCTTATGCAAATATATGTATCTCATAGATTACACTGGTAATCTATGGCCACACATTTTATTAAGCAACCAGTGAAACAAAACTGAAACTGAGAATATATGCACAGTCCACAGCAACAAAAATGCTCTCAATCAGTGTGCCCACAATCCAGCTGGGTAGCTTGGCAAACATATGTAGCTATTTTAATTTTTAAAGTGCCCTGAAAACATTAATTTTCCCTAGGAGAGCTTTGAGTAAGTACTATTCCTTCTTTAGAAATGAGGAAATGACAGGTAACACATTAAGTAAATGTCAGAGCCGGATTTAGAGTGTAGATTCTTTGGAAGTACATGGTAATTTAACTGAGCGCATCAGTCCTTGCATATTTGCTTCAGCAGGGTTTATCTCTCTTGTTTATGTAGTGGCTCTCTCTGCAATACTTTGCTCTTTAGGAGAGGAGTACAGTAATTCAGTGATATGAATTCTCCTGAGTAAATATGGTGCTGGTCAAAAGTCTTTTGAGGCACCAGCAGCAGTTTGCTGACTTCCATGTGTCTGAGGATCAGATCTGTTGAAAAGTTCTAAAGAAGTCACCATGAAAGTTAAAGGAGTGCAAGACTTCTGTGCTCCTTTCCGTCCTGGAAAAAAAATAGCATTTATCCAGCATGATAGGAAGCAAAAATTGCTCTGTGATAATGTGTATTGATCCAAGTTAATCTTCCTGCTTAAAGTGTTCATTTCAACGTGGACTAGCAGTCAGACCATCGTGAACTATTCCAAGTCCCTGTTCATAAATTAAGCCAGATAGTTTCTGGTTGCTGCCTTGGAGACAACATGGGAGCTACAGTTTTCGTTAGGAATTGATGCTGGCTATTTGGCTAATGTAGGAAATTTGTCTGCATGGTACAAGGAGCAATAAGAGAGGGACCCTCAGACTAGACCATTCTATCTCTGAATCCAGAAGTAACATAGTTGTGGCAATGCTAAAAAGCAGAGATTTTTAGCCCGGGTATCATGCCACACTAGAGAGCTGAGCTATTTTCAGAGCTAAGATAGTCTGTCTCTTTTCATCATATTGTACCATGTGAATGACTCAGCCTACACTGATCAGCCTTCAGCTGACAAGTCTCCGCCATTTCTTCTTCTGTGGAATATTGTTATGCCTCTTTTTCCCATCCAGTACTACCTACTTCCCAACCAGTACTACCTGGGAAGGTATTTGGACGCAGGCAGGGTGGCTGCAATTTATCTGAAGCTTTAATGAGAAGTATTTGAGCATATTTTAAATACTTTAGTACTTTTATGAGAGTAAAATGCTTTTTTTTTTGCTTTGTTACAATGTGAAAACTTCTGTTATAGCAATTGGTGCACTGGGAACTTTAGTTTGTGACTGAATTGCACAAAAATTACCTGCCCTTGCTTTCTGAAGCAGCTGTGCACTGGTAAACAGCTGTCGTGTTATATCCTTAAAACTACATTGATGGTGGGTGCAAATGTGACATAGAGTTTAAATAATATTAAATTTTGTTAAGGTGGTGGTTGTTGTAGACGCTAAGATTAGACTGAGGTGAGAAGGACCCCAGTTTGCCCACTTTTTTTGTGATGTTTGACATTAAAACTGTAGCAAAATGTCACAGATTTGCTTCGTAATAAGTTAAGAAGCAAAGATGATATGCTTTTGATATGCAACAAAGTTATGGTACATTCAAAGTACTCTTTCAGAGTAATGCCTTGTTAGCATTTCTTTACCCCTTTCATATTCATAATCACCTTGACAAGCTAGAACAAGATTGCCAATTCATGTAAAAGACTTCATCCTGAAAAGTCTTCAAAGAAGCTTTAATAGCATGTTCTATTTACTTTACATTTTCCTTTCTTATCCAGTCATAAAAGAATACAATATTGTTTTTTTACTGAATATACAGCTGATGTAATTTCTAGATTAACATCGTCTTTAATTCTCTAATTTTATCACCTACCTTCTCTATTTACAAATAGATTTTGAAATACTTGGTAGTAGAACACCTTGACATTGCACTTAATTAATTACTAGTTAAAAAGAATTCTAACAACTGAAGTAACTTAGACCTTCCAGATTAACAAAACTGCATCCTCAGCAATCCTATCACAGAAGGCTGTCATTTAGGGCAATGAGATGCATTTTTTCTGTATGAACACCTGAGCAGCACAATTTGTTGATGTCCAAAAAAAAAACCTTCTCTGATTTTATTTTCTCTTCTTGCAGCTCTGCAAAATAAGACCATCTCAATAGGGTCAATACTGTATGTTGTTATTTATGTATGCCATAGATACCTATAGGTATTTTAAACATGTGGCAAACAACTGTTTGCAGTGAACATCTGTCAAAAGCTGTCTACTCTAACTGTATCCATCCATGGGTCATTGTATATATTAGAGTAACTTGCTTACCTCTGTGCTTTGGCTTTCCTCCAAAGGAAAGCAAAACATTTGAAGGCAGAGGGTGCACCCAGCTCTGAGGCATGTGTGCAGTGAGAGCATGGCTGGGGGACGTGCTCCAAGGACTGGAACAGCTGGGCAGAGGGTACTTGCTCCGGGTGTGTGCATTACCCATATCAGTAATGCACATGCAGATAGTGCTTTGGAATAAATTAACTTGATTTCAGTTCAGATCTAAGAAGAGTTCTATTTTGTCCAAATAACCTGAGGGCAAAAATAATGATAATCAACAAATTCTGATGCTTCACAGTCTTCAGGATGCTTGGCTTTCTTACTTCAGAAAGTATGGCTCTCTATAGTGCTTTGTATGGAAAAAAACCAAAACCAACCAACAATCTAAATCTAGAAGGAAGAGAATGATGATCCAGGCACAACCTGCCAGGTTGATTGTTGTGAGATTCACTCTGCTCTGGGATGCCTGGATTCAGATAACCCAGAATGGCCCATATTTCTTGGTTCCAGTCTTTATTAGCTTAGTTCCTTCAGGACTATCTGGCTAAAAAGAAACAGAAGACAGGGGGAATTAGGTAAGATGTGAGTCTTATTTTGCCAAGCCTTCAATCCCTATCTGAAAAGCAACGAAAGTAATAGATCTTCATTAAATTGCAGAGCCATGAGATAAGTAGAGGACTGTGAGATGACATAACACTGTCTTATTGGTCACTGTTTTTAAATATTCCAGGCAGATATGATGTTTTGAGCTCAACTCAGTCATTTAAACACAGGAATCTAGTGCCGTTTGAGATGACTAAATTATTAAATGTACCCACGCAGAGCTGGTGGATATAACATAGACTCTATGGGAGACCTGTCCCCTCCTAGCTACTAGTCTGAGTGTCATTATGGCACCTCAGATATCACTAGAAATCTACACTGGGAGATTGAATCAAGTTCTCTGGGCATGATCCTGTGATATCGTAGATTAAGAAACCTAAATTTCAGTGACTCCATGTAGCTGCTTCTATTTGAGCCAGATGTCAAAGCACCTGTAACAGCCAGTGAAGAGCTGGTTAGTGCAGGGGCACCCAGACAGGTGTACAATGGCCAAAAGTTGTTATTTGATTTACAGTGAAATTACTAGCTCTAGGATGCCATCATATATATTTTGTGTGAGCTTCTGGTGCTGTCCAGAAGGGTACAAGTCTTTAGGTCGTCTGTTGCATCTGTTATTCTTGTGCAATGTAGTCATCTATTGTATAGTTTTTCAAAAAATATGACATGTTCGTGTTTAGCCGACTAAATCAAGCGTCATTAACTGTAACCTGGTCCACATGAAGACATACGTATGTAAACAGCAAAACTTAGGTTTCCCAGCCTAGAAATTGAGGTTTTATATACTGCAAACTCACATGCGTTTGCTTTATATTTTATCCCTTATACTGGACAATAATTTATACTTCATATTTTGTATGTATATAAAATGCAGCATTGTGCTGTGTTTCTCCTCAGCTATAGGTTACTATTAGCCTTCTTGTTTACAAAGCCTCTCTCTGCCACACATATCCATCTATACATTTTGCTTTTCTTTCAGCTGTGACTTGGCTGGAGCAATAGCAAATGCAAAGTAGTTCAGCATTCAGCAGCAGCTATTGTAGATATTTGAAATAATGACTAGTTGTAGCTTGGCCAGATTGCAGTAGCTAGTAACAGCATTTGTATTTTCTCTCACTTCCTTATTATTGTCCTTTTCCTCTTCAGTCCCTTCATTCATCTTTCTTGCTTGCTTTTCAGACTGATCTTCATTTTCTCTTATCCCTTTCCTTCCTACTTTTCCTCTCTTTCTTCTAATATAATCAATATGCAGTTTACATAAGAAATCTTGTATATTTGACATTTTCCCCATAGATACTTACTCTTACCATAACAAACTGGTGTCCATGGTATTCTTTTTTTTCCTTCTTCCTTTTCTACTTGTTTCTGAAAAGCTATTATGCTAGTTCCTAGAAGCTTTGAGGTGATAACAAGCATAGACAAGCACAATCTGTTCATTGTCAATATGAACGCTTGATGCTGCAACTGAAGCACACATGGGTGCAAACTCTTGATATATGCAGAAAACACATGTACAACCTTTTTTGTACACTTTTTTTTTTTTTCCTGAACGCAACTACAGGGTCTCGCCAGCTTTCACTACCAAAGTCTTAACACGTCTCACCCTCTGATAAACCCCTCAAGACAGCAGAATGATAATGATATGGCACAGTAAGTCAAAGGGTCTGGATAAAACATTATGTTTCAAAAAAACTCAAAAAAGATCCTGGAGTTACTGATCTGACACTTGACTTTTACTGGAGAGTCAGACTGACATCTGTTTGCTAAATACTGATGAATCGCTGCCTGCTCTCTCTCCCACATCCATTTGAAAACATTTCACACATTTTCTTTGGTGATTAGTTCAAACACTTTTGCTATCAATGAACGGGGCTCATCCTGAGTGCTTTCTTAGCTTAAGATATGTGAGAGACTACATTTAGTGCATGCAACCTGCGTATCTCCTGCATTGCCAAAAGCATTCAGAGCTGTAGTTCTTCAAGCAATCTGTGACAATGCTCATTGTAAAGCTTCCTATAAAAAATCGTGGGTAGCCTCAAGATCTCAGATATCACAAGTTCATTTTTATATTTTGAATTTTTGTGTGGCAATGGCAAAGTAAGGTGGAAGTGAATAATGTGTATGAACGTGTTCCCTTTCTCATCTTCTTCATCCTCCTATCGTGTTGAAACCTTGGCAGAGGAAATAATTTTATGTCAATAGTTAAGAATGGCTTTTGATTCATTTGACGTGACTTATTCACCTGTCAGTTCATTCCAGGAGAAGGTTGCTCACATTGATGGGTTAAATATTGCAGATGAGATTGAGTGACTATAAACAACACTCACATAAGCACACCTTTGTCTTGCTCACATATTGACCTGCCATGACATCACTGGTGAATAAACGTAAGCAGAGCTCAAAGCCTCTGTCTCTGCTGTCCCATGTGGTACTTACAGTGTTTGATAACATTTATTGTTCCTCTTTATTAAAATAATGAGTGGTGCTTAGTAGTTCAAAAAGACAACTTGTAATTCTGCTCATCAAAATGTTGTCACAGGCCACTAGAGAAGGTACAAAGCGGGACAGGTTGTATTCCTCTACTCTTAATTTGTCTGTTTGGGTAATTGGTGGAACGATCCTCTCAAAACATCAGTATCCATGTTCAGCTGTAGAGGGTTACAGAAAGGGCAGCTCCGTGACCTCACCACAATATACTGTGCAGGGTAGGTTTGCTGAAAAGTATTAATTGTGCTGGTTATGTATTAGGTACAAGTTATCTGGGATTCGTATGTAAAGACTTAGACATCTCTCGCATAAATTATCTCTATATGGTCTGGTCTTTCTTTCTCTAGTCAATGGAAACAAAATGGGCACTTCGTAAGTGCAGTTTGGCCTGTTTGAGACAGCTAAATCAGGATGAGATGATTCATGACATAGAAATATTTCTTTTCACTTAGCAGAAAAGTGAGTCTAGATGGCTGGAAGAGGTCTAAATAAGGACAAATAAAACCCATACAGTACGTATGTCCTGAAGTTCAGAAAAAAACCTGCAAAATCTAGTTTGGGATGTACCAACTTGAAACACAATTGAGCTATCACCAGTCAAATACAAGTTAAAAAGTACTAGAAGAATCTTGATGATGGGCAGATATTAGTCTCCTATGTCCAGAGCTGCTTTTTAAGTTCTTTGCTAGAGCTATCTAAAGTAGCTACATTACCAGCAGTGTGAGATGTCTGTGTATCTTCCTGTTGTGTTTTAGGTGCAGTTGTTACCAGCATTTTCTCTATCCCACAATCATCTCCAAGTCATGTAGTCTCTTCATAGCACTATACAGCACCGGTCTTTGATCAGGACAGATTAGTTTACTGCGCAGCTCTCAACTTTACTTCAGTGTTCTGTTGTTCATTTGGTACAGAAGCCAGATGGACAAAGTCCATCATCTTACTTCTTCCATGGCCCTGCAAACACAGGAATGTTTTCTATAGTACTACTTTTTTTCTAGGGATTTGCCTAGTTTAAATCTTAAACTCCTTGAGCAGTAGAGATTCTTCTTTTACCTGTGAGAGGTTGTAGCACATTACGGTGCATCTCCTGAAGACATGCTTTCTGGTACTCAGCCTCTGAAATATCTTAATGCTTCATTCCTGGGTTAGGCTGTGACACTGTGGCTGTGTCAAGGCTATGTTAGGTGGCGAGTTGGGAGGGAATATCCTTTCTGATATTTAGTGTTTACCTGTCTTGAAATGCACATTAATCTGACTTTGAATTTTTTAACTTAAAATGTGTAAAATAGTAATGTAGAAAGTTTCTTCTCTTCTTTTCTCTTTTGCAGATGATCATTCCAGGATATGTTTGAAAGGTGAAAATAGCCACGACAATTCAGACTACATCAATGCTAGCCCAATTGTAAGTATGGTAACCTGTGAGAAATAATCCAAATAGTCACTCCTTGTCTTTCCTTTTACTAAAATATACTAACTTGAGGCACCTCAGCTGCTTAGGTCGTGCAACCTCAGGTCGTGAGAACCTCACAACCCTGGTGTCTCAGACTGTCTTTTCAAATTGAAATCTTCTACATGTTTATGCAATACCCTTGAAGTTTATGTACTAAGAAAACAAAGCCACTAAATAGTTTTTGTTCTACCTTGGAATTTGGAAACTGTCAAGTTTTCTGTACTTGATATTACTAACTTATGGATTATAAAATTCAATGATATATCCTTAGCAAAGCTTTTCCTTCTCTGAGAAAGTAAAACTTGCTTGTTCTTTTTTGCTTTGTCCTACTAGCTGCAGTCATAAAAGGAATGGTTTCCGTAGGTGTGGAGAGCTGAGCTCCACAGGCTTCTGAACTCCTGCATCAGGAAGTGACATTTGCTCTTACCTCCCTTCTTCTGTTGCCCTACCAACGTGTAGTTTGGTGTTTCTGTAGCTCACCCCAAAATAGCTAGCTTTTTTTTTGAAAGCAACAGTGGGACCTCTTACCAATTATATATTCATTCAAACTGCGGAAGAGGTCAGTCCAATTTTTGCATCTTCAGTGGGGCCCAGCTCTCCTTTCTCACCCTATGTAAGCTGAATATGAATCCTTTCTTGGCTGTGAAAGATGATGGGAGAAAAGATCCCTATTTTTAGACACAAAACAGGTATGATAGAGCCAGTAGCATTGCCCTGTCGTAGCATCTCAGTGGAAGTGTCATGGTATCCATCTGAAGGGGGAAGAAATCATTTGTGTCCTTGACCTCTGTGAGATTGCTAGTATTGGAGTCACTTTTGCTCATGGTTCTTATTCACATTAATAAGGCACTAAAAAATTACTATAAGGAAACTACTATAAAGATCTTGGGATGGAGAATTAGATCTCACTGCAGTGGGCTGTGTATGCCATTACTTTTTCCTAGGGACTATCACTACCCCAGTTAAATTACTTTGTGTGGGCAAGGCAGATGACAATTTGCAACAGCATGAAATTATACGCTGCTTCCTTCCAATGTTGTTGACAATACTTTTTTTTTCTCAAAACACCCCACAACTATGTAGAAACTGTTCTCTGAGCTTTGTTTTTGTTACTTTCAGCAGAGTTCAAAAGCTTAATTTCCCTGAATATACAAAAATGTTTTATTCAAACAGCTAAAAAATACACAGAACCCAAGAAACATCTTCAGAATGGTTTTGTCTTTGGCTTCGGGTAGAGGGGAACCCAAAGCCCCTGCATGCTTCAGGGGTTAACAGTGCCATTTTAGAGGACAGGATAGATGCACACAGATTAGAGCAGTTTTTTTGAACTACTTTTAAGTATGTATCTGATTAAACCAATCTCTAATTTATCTGACTAGACCAAGTTCTAGCTGGCCCCAGGATCAGGAGATCAGAGTAACTTGGTGCTCCAAGGAATACATGTCCTGCTTGTAAAGTCAGGCACAGAGGTCCAGCTGCAGGGCTTTGGTGCTCTGTTTATCTGTCTTCAGGGAGTTAAGTTTGGATAAGCCTTAATCTGATAGTAGAAATTGAGAGATTTTGTGGGAGGTGTCAACTGGAAATGAGATACTGCGTTCCTGTAAGAGCTTGGTTGTAATTCTCATGACTACAGTATGGTGCAAAAGAGGAGTTAAGAGTGTCTGTAGACAGTGCGAAGCCAGGATCAGTGGTGGCAGCAAGACAGATGCTGTGTTTCTACTGAGTAACCAAGATAGGCTTCTGCAATGTGCCTAAAAGTCTGGGTAAACACAACTGTTTTTCGCAGACAGATTTGGTTGGGGAAGGGGTGAATTCTTGCATGTGTGTATATACCTGTTGCAACTGTAATTCTGGATTATAGTATATCTATTCCCTTAATTACACTGAAAAATGTTAGATGAAATAGTGTTGGGGGTGGAGAGACAGGAACAAGACGTTGATATAACTGTGAAGAGATTTGCTTTGTCAGGATGCCTGAAGCTAATAGAGGCAGAGGATCTCTGCTTCCACGGCTTTAACTCTCATGGTTTTACAGGGGGTTGTAATCTTGCCTTTCCATTCAGCACTTAACAAGGGTGTTTTCTTCTGCAGCGTTAGAAGATATTTCTTTTTATAGCTATCCCAAACTTGAGTTTTACTCAATGAATCAAGTCACACTGATAAAGCAAGAATTCTTATGGTTATCTCTGTGTCTCTTAGAGAAGCATTTCTATGATGAGAGATAAGTAGGTTGTGCAAGTGTCTCATTGGATTGAGACAAGCAGCCAGTGTCTTGCATAGCCATGAAAAACTCTTGAGTTCCTTTTCTTCGTGGTAGAACAGGGACCCTACTGTGTGGGAGGGAACACCACAGCCCACATTTGTGTAGATGACCTGCTATTCCAAGGAAGGAGATGCTGCAGATGTTTTTGTGAGTTAGTTTCACTAAGTCAATAGTCATTTTGTTATTTTGAAAGCAGTAGATAAGACGTGTGTTTCCTGAAGATGATGCAGTGGGAAGTTGGTAGGAGAAGATGACTACTTTGCAAGCCTGTAGTGTGGAAGGATTCTCTGCACACTGTTTCATTTTGAAATAAACTAATATCTTCAGCTTAGTGTAAACATATTTGTTAATCTGGTGTAGTTTTCTATGGTGAGGTAGAATATAGGAGTGGCAGAGATAGTCAGTGTCTGTTCTCCCCACCTTGGAAGCCTACTGGAGTATTACATTGGGCACTTGATTCTGCGGTATTTACTGTGGCTGTACAGCCATTGCGGCCCGAGCTGGACATACGTGCTATTACTGCTGCTGTTTATTTGAGATCTTTTCTGTTAGCAGAAACACATTTAATCCACACCTTTGTAAGCGCACAGTGGATGTGGAGTACCAGTAAGTCTGCTTTTATTCGCTCTTGCAAAAATCCTACCGTTTCTTTCCTTCAGACTGCTGCCTTTCAACTTAAATAACCTCAGTAATTATCATGTCAATACAGTGATGTTCCTGGTGCATTTGCGCCTTGCAGCGCTTGGGTTAGGAGTGAGCATTTTAGTGAGCTGCAAGATGGGCATTAAGAGCACAGGATCAGTACAGGCTGAACTGACTGGAAGAGGCTTTTTCCTCCCAGCGCGTGTGAGCTGTCTGGTGGGGGAAGAGTGTCAAATAAAGTAATTATATTTGAGCTTTGGAAAGGGAGGCTTCCAGTCGTGTACATGTCGTTGGGTATCTCCAGCTTCTGTGTCAGTGCTCCAGTCTCCAGCTGGGGCTCACTCAACCTTAACTTAAGTCTAAATGAGTGCAGCAGTACATTGTACAAAAAAAAAAAAAAAAAATCCCTGTGCTAGACAATAAGCTGGCCACCTGCCCACATGTTTCTTCTTTTTAAAAAATGTTACCCCCTCTCAAGACCTTCTTTCCCTCCAATATGTTGTGAAAACTGGGGTTAGATTGATGGCCTCATGGCTGGGAGTGGGTGAACAGACTCAGAAAAGATTTCGTCTGAGTTCTTCCTGTAGGTCTTTAATTTCACTGTAGCATGATGCCAGGCAAAATGAGGCCTAAGGATAAATTTGCAGGGTAAAAGCGAGGTAGAAATCTGTTTCCCTCCTTTCTGAAATAACATAAAGTACTATGATAATAACTCTGCTATCGGCAGCTGAATGAAAGGCTTGCAATTACAGCACAAGAAGACCCTGACTGTGCAGAATAAAACTGTGATAATTACATCTGTCATATTTGTACTTAGTCCTCATTAAATTTCGGGAAAATCATCCAGTAGTAAATAATGTGCAATCTTTGCTTTTAAATCAGAGGTCATGAAAGTAAATGGGAATTCTGTTTTTCCTCATAGGGTGTCTGAGAGAGAAAAAATCCCATCAACTACGTTTAAAAACTCAGTTTGCTTATTATTGAAGACACCAGACTGAGGAATGTCATTAGCATGAGAGTTTGTTCAAACACAGCATACAAATTTTATCACCAAGAATAGACTCTGAAATTCATAATGGCATTCACAACCAGATTTACTTCTTTCATGCCATTAGGGGTTTTAAAGGAAGGATTTAAAAATTGGTTTAAATTTTAATTCAAACATGATTTTAAGGACTAGTCTGCCTTTTTAATTTTAATGCTGAGATGAATGTGATTACAAAGTTCATCTGCATTTGCTGGATGTGCCTTCTTTTACAAAAACAAATACACTATTTTACTTTTAGAGACTGTGTATACTCTGTGTAATAAATATATGCATGGAAGTAGATTTTATTTGTATTATAATCACATTAAATCTGGAAACTACACAGTAGCTTGAATCCATACAGGTTTTTTAAGGTGTTAATCAGAGTTCAACTTTCTTCTGTCGTATTTGTTCTTTACTGGATATCATTCTGATCTCAGTGATTTAGGAATATTTTGACTGGGCTCAGAGGATTTAGATCAAGGTAGATGTGGTGTGACTGAGACTGCATCTCACCCAGTACTTTTCTGCGTGGAAAGTAAGGGTCTGACAGGCTGAGAGGCAAGCTAGAGGGCACGAGTGAATCAGTGGATCATTTACACGAGTTTTCAAAACAGTCATTGATGCCCATTGATACTTTTACTTCAGTTTACAGTTTTAAAAGACTACTTAACAAGAATCTGTATGTACCACTCTCAAGTGGAAATACAATAAATTTGAGGATTTACTCCTATAATATATCAATGTTGGTGTATTTCATCAGCATTATCAGTGAAATCAGGCAGCAGCACAATCTCTATCTAAAAACTGGACAAAATTCAGAGTTCTTCAGGGAATCCTTGCAAAGTCCTAAGTTAAGGCAACTGGATAGTAGAACTCATGAAGGAAAACTAAAGTAAAGCAAAGGTGGAATTGTGGCCTGATCGTAATTTAACAAATGCACAGCTAATAATGGTAACATGTTCTTTATATATTTTCCTACGTGCGGATACTCTAAGTCAATTTATATTACAATGCCCTGAAGAAAAACACAGTCATGCCACTAAAGTTGTTTTGGGTTTTTTTTCCAGCATTAAATCTGAAAGCTCCTCCTTTTTGTTTTTATTTGCTTTTGATATTGGCAGTGATGAAAATCACCACAGTATTCAATGGTCAGTTATAGTAATCCTTGATCTTTTTCTTGCCCTAATACAAAATCATGGAAAAATAGATTGAAACATTATCACCAGTCTTGCCTTTGTTGTACTGCAGCAGAAAATAAGAATTCTGCCACAGGAGAACAGTTGTAATAACTGCAGTTTTTCTTTCCAAAAATGCCTATTCGATCCAGTTCTGATGTAAGCCTTGTGAACTTTGTGCTTTGATGGGGATTTAGAGCGAAAAATCTTGTTCTTTTTGACCAGTTACTGTTAGCGTGATTTCTGAAGCTTGTTCCGATGTGAAATATTAGCAAACAGTCGATTTTTGTTTTAATACTTGATAGTACAGAGCCTGCTGTTCTCTATTCCTCTGGAGAATACATTTTCTGTTTTATTTTCATGAAGTGACTGAGGGATCCTTGAAGGAAGATAATGACTACTGACACAAAAAAAAAGCTTTTCACTTGATCCTTGATTAGTTAGTTCAGAACCCATTGCTGACTTTATTTCTTTATTCAAACTTTTGTTAACTTTGATAGATTAAGTTGCCCTTGGTGTTCTTGGTGACCTTGAGAGAATAAAAAAAAATCATAACAAAAACATTCGAGAACTGTCCCTTGCAGTCACCTATTGAGGTTAAATTCAGTGTGACCAGAGTGGTGATTTTTCACAGTTTTCTTGGAATACGTGGCCTTTAAAACAGTAAATATAATAGAAAATTGATGAAACCAGGAATTTCATTTAATTAGTTAAAGCTTTGCTCTTATTTTTGTTCAGTTAAAGATCATTTAATAGGATGATAGCGCTTTCTGCCATCTTTCATTCGCTCCAAGCAAGACGAGTTTCTGCTCATAATTGTTTTCTGTGCAACACAATGTGCTTGGAATGTAATAATTGTAATTGTCTTTAGAATTATGGTTAAACTGCTGATACACTTCACTACTCTGCACTCATTGTAATGTTTTCCACGTTCCAACAGCACCTTTGTGACAGAGGTTGATTAATGCTGAAATGCCAAGATTGGCCTATTCCTATTTTATGAGTTGAATGTTGAGAAGAGCTTCCTCCATGACAGTGCTATTTGCATCATCCTTGATTTCTTCTGCCTTTGTTTTCTGGCATGTATACATACAAAAGAATTTAGTTTAAGAAGAAATGCAAAGTAAATTATTATTTTTCTAAAGTTTGGTTTATTTACTGTCAATTACATTTTCAAATCAGGCTCTTGCCTGTTAGACAAGTGACATCATTTTCAAGTGATTGCAGCCTACAACAGCTTCTACTGGGAGTAGCAAGTCCTTCTTGGTGAAGGTTGAATTTTCTAAGCTAAGATTTTTAGTTCCAGCACAGGAAAACTTTTAAACACATGATTGAATCCTATAGATCTCTGTGGGATTCAAACTGAAACAACAGAGATTATTTCAACCATAATGAAACAAAGAAAGTCTGACTTTGCTTAATCACACTTGCTGCTGTTTTCAGCCCTGTTTAGTTCAGTGCCTCAGTTCTTGCAAAAACAAAAAACAAGTTGCCCATTTTCAAACGTTTCCTAAAGTTTTTTTGCTAGTAATGCTTTCTGAAGAAAGCTGATTTTTACCCTAGTCTGTACTACGCACAGTAGTAAATGTCTTGCCATCAGAATTGCTTTTGTCAAAAGGCAAAGAAAGCAAGGTTGAAATTTGTTGTGAGAAATTGCTTGTTGTGAAGAGATGTTTGCTGATAAGAGAAGCATCTCAATGAAGCCCAGAATAAATTGATGGTATTATAGGCATTCTGGTCAAGATTTTTTATAACTATGGATGATGAATCAGAAGTCAGCTTTTATTCTAAATGGATTCAGTGACTTCATTTTACCTGTGTTGTGTTGTCATGGAGAATTTTTATACTAAGTCCGGTTTAATTATACATCAGAAAATTAGAAACATAAAAGTGTTCTCTTCCTTTCTGCAACATTCATCATATTGTTGTTCTGTTAGAATAACTTACATCTGTTCTTTTATGGTTCTTCCCTCTTTTATGTTTCACATAATTATGAGGTGCCTTCTTTTACGCTGACATGTACCATCACTGAAAATTTTGGTAGGCTATGAATAAATTCAGTAGATCCCTGTTAATGCAAATGTGACTCACATTCATTCTTATTCAGATCTTTACTTATAGAACAGAATCATGTATTGAGACGAATTCTGTCTTCAGCTACATGGATAGAAGTTAACTCTCACCAACTTCAGCGTCACTGAGTCACACCCACACATCTGAGAGCAGAACTGGGTCTCTTCTCTGCGTTCAAAGTTTTGTCTTGCCCAGTTCAGAATGAGTTTGTTTGGTTTTTAATCCTATCAGCAGATCTTCTTTTTCAGCAGAATAGGTCCTAAGACTTAGAACCAAGAAAACCACCCATCGGTTTGAAAACATTCATTGTAACACACTAATCCTATTTACTCTTGATAGCTTTGTTTCTTAGATTCTTTATTTTTTCTGCTCAGTGAATTTTCTGCTCCTTGAATTAAATGTAATAATTAAGGTCTTTAAGCAGAACTTCCTCTGTTGAGGCCAAATCCATGCATTTAGATAAACCAGCTAACCAGAAAAAGGCAGAATTCGAATTTGTTCCCCATTTTTGCTGGTTTTTAGTTACATGTGCCCTTGACTGGCACAGTCGAAATGGAGAATGTATTTAGTTGTGTGGAGCATTCTTAACACTTAGTGTAGAAAAATGTTTCAAATGACTTCTAGGTTGCTATGAAACCACAAGTACTGATCTCAGATAAATGCCTTTATCAACCACCATATATGATCTTAAGCTGCAGAGAGGACACGGGACATTGCTCATCAGTGCTGTTATTCATCTGGTAGCATCCGTGTTTTGTGAAAAAGTTCTCCACTGAACTTATAAATAGAAATAAAATTCTTTGCTTGCCAATGAAGGATGAAGGGACGTGACAGTCCTTTAGGAAGTCCCTTGTTTCCGCCCTCACATACTTTCTGTCTGTAACACAGCAAGGGATTTTCTTTTAAATAAATCCAGTCTTTCTCTTTCCTTATTCCAGATGGACCATGACCCCCGAAACCCTGCATACATTGCCACCCAGGGTCCTCTCCCTGCTACTGTTGCTGACTTCTGGCAGGTAAGTTGAACATCTCTTTGAAAAATTAATTATGTTACAAATAAACTGTTTTCCTGTGCTTCTCGAAATGTAAAGAGTATAAAAATATATTGTGCTTGGGTCACAACAGATAGAAAAAACTTAGTTTAAATGTCTTTTTAAAATCTAGTAGTACATGGATATTCAAGCCATTTATATATTTGACAAGCCCTGCTAAAGAATAGTTGATCTGGAAATTACATTGAAAACCTCAGGCCAAATTATTCATATTTTAGTGCCAGGTCTCTGTAATTAAATTGCTGCCAAGGACTGGATGATTTTCAGAGGACTTGACCTTCTTAAGAGTGTAGCCAGAATTCATTGTCACTCTCCAGATCAAAAAGGACCTAACACTATGTGCCATGAATCTTTCCATTGAAACCTACTTTTCACATGTTCTGGTTCCCCAGAATGCTTAAACTCATATGTATTTTCCCTATCACAGATAGCTGAGTTACATGTTAAGATCTTACTGCATAAAGTTGAGCAGGTGCATCATTTTCGGCAGGACTGGGGCTAAAGGCAGTAGTTACTGATGCACAAATATGAGGTTACCTTGCATGCAGTTTTTTTATGTGCTTGTGCAGCTCTGATTTCGATGTGCACACACTGCCAGGCTAGGTGTGTGTGGTTGTATGATGAACAGGCTGCGTTAAATATTCCCTTTCTAACTCTACAAGTGTGCCTGAAAGCTTACTGAAGCTATTTGGGGAGGAGACCAACAGGGGCCTATTTATCACCGTGAACCTATGTTTTTATTTTTGCCTTATAAACTTAGAAGCATTTGTTCTGAAGATAAATAATGTCTCTTGTAAAGTTTCATAAGTGCCATTGCATTGTAGGAGCTTGCATGGATTGAAATCATCATCTCTCTTCTTCTGCGTTACTTGTTCTATGATTATAAAGTGTTCACTGATCCCTGTCGAAGGTACCTTCCGTGTCAGAATTTCCTACTGTTTCTGATGAGCAATCAGGATGTTTTCAAAAAGTTTGTTTGATTTTGGATACCTGGATATTTATTTAAATGCTCGGTCTGAGATATTTTGGGACTGGTTTTCAGAAGTGCAGAGCAAATGCTTTCTGCATGAAGCAAGTTGAGCTGTTGATCCGGCTTAAATTTTCAAGTAACGTGTGATTATTGTCTTCACTGTTTGGTAATTAGGCACAATTGAGAAGACTGATCTTTTTTCTCTTGTCAGGTGGGCTCCTTATAACAGTCATGATATATGAAAATGTGTTTCTTAAGTTAAACATGCAAAATCAAATGCCATGTTAGCTGTTCTGTGATGATATTTTACGATTCCTAAGGCCCAGGGTTTTTTAATTGTATATTTTTGCATATTTGTATGTTTATACTTTGTATATTTTTCCCTGTTACTGCACCTTTACACGCTGAAAAAAATATATATTCTTGTTTTTAAAGAACCCTCTTTATATAAGCATTGCTGCTGATGCAGAAGTCAGAACTTAATGATACCAATATAGTATGGAAGGTATATTCATATGAGTGATATATGCTTCTCCCATTCCAGTTTGAACAGTTAGCCTACCTGTTTACACAGACACAGAGACTAGAACTGAAACATGATTTCTTTGTTCTATGGTCCAATCTTCTTCATACTCAAAAGGTCTCTTTCTTGACTTTCTTTCTTCATACTGTTTGTGATTGGAGAGTCATCACTTTTGTTCGCTTTCCTTCTGTGCTTTTTAGCTCTTTCTCCTCCCAGTTATCCGTCAGTGAAAGTTCGCTCCATCTCCCCATCAGATTTGCTGTAAACATCTCCACGGAAACCAACTGGCAACCATAGTTCAGCTTCTGCTCAAGTGTGGCTATGTGTCCATTTTTGATGCAATATTGTTATTGTTTCTTGTGTTAGGTTCCACGGGAAAGTTTTTTTCTTATAGTTATCTTAATCTGCCTATGTCAGATTGGTCCATCACCCTTTTCTCTTAAACTTGAACTTCCTACAGATCACATGTGCTGCTTCCTGTCCTAAGCTTTTTATATGGCCTAGGGTATCAAGCAGGTCTAATAAACAGGCCAAGAGAGATTAACCCCTTAAAGAGCACTGCATCCATAACTGCTGAAATGCAGTAGGTCCACTGTAGAATCCAAAGCCGTGGCTTGAAGCTGTTACAGTTTATATCTGGCTGCAGGAGCAAAGTTTGTATCCATTTTTCACCTAATAGTAATTATTTTAAGGTAAAGCATGGGAAACCCAAACTTAAAACAGAAAACAGAGTATTTACTTACTCAAGGCAGAATCCTCTGTTTACCTGAGTGCAGTTTTCTGAAGTTTATACAGACTATGGTGCTGCCACCAGGGATTGTTGAAAGATTGGCTTATTCATTCCTGATACATCTTCTCAGTGGTTCTCCTTCTTCTGCCTCATCTACTTAATACCAGCTGTTGCTCAACTGTGTTGCTTTTTTTCCCTTTTGTGTGCTCAGCGAGGCAGTTTTCTGACTGATAGTGAGAAGAGTGATTAACTCCAGAGAGACCTGGGACTATTCTGCTGTTCCTTGTCTAAATGCACAATGTCATGCTTTAGCAAGTCCAACAGAAACTCTTGGAGCCTGACATTGCCTTCCATGGCAGTATTTAGTAGATATATTGCTTCCTGGTTTTGCACAGACTTAGCTGCTAAGATTCCCTAGAGCTTGATTGCATGGTGGACATCAGCCCCTCCATTTTATCTTGGCTGAATGGCTACCCCAGCAAGAAACTGTTATAATTGTTTCCCCTCTTGCAGGCATTTCAAGCTGATTTCTACAAAAGACTTGTCTACAATGCATTTGTTTTACTTGAAAGTGTAAGAAAACTGTCTTGGCATTTACAACACAGCGGATACCCATAAAGAACTCCAAACTCCTGATTTGTCCTGACTCTAGATATCATGCCCAAACTCCAGAGACGTGGTTTCTAAACATCGTTTCCCTTAAACTTGCATAGGTTCTTCCACTCGTCAGTGACCATGTCTACATTAGCAAGCAGTGTGGCACACTAGGAGTGGGTTTGTAGTGTGTCACAGTGCATACCTGGTAGGTTTTACTTTAGACCAACTACTCAGTGGTCCAGTAGACCAAATGCCTGTTGGCTGGGGAGAAGGCTACATCTGGAGGAAGCTTCTTCCAAAAGGAACTCGGTTTCTGAGCTCTAAGACTGCTCTGCAGTGCCTGCTGCTCTTCATGTCTGTCATCTACATGATCATATGGTCCCATCCATTATCTCTATTTAAGACCAAACAGATGATTTAGTTTTGGGTAATCTTTTCTTCCTAGTTTTATTGGCAAGCCACTCTAAAACCTGTTACGTTGATCCAGTGCCCAATATTTTTGTGCAAGTGCTATTTAGACACTTAGCAATCAAATTCGCATTTGTTGTTTTCAAGTTGTCCAGATCTGAACAAAGGTCATGGTCAGCTCAGTGTCTTCTCTTTCCCAAACTGGGCAAAGCTTTCTCATAAAACATTGATGATGCTTTATCCAGGCTTATCCTGTTTAGCAGATACATGCCAAGTGCCACTATGGAACTGGAGGGAGACCAGTTTCAATGATCTTATTAGGGACCACTTCTTGGAAGAAGAAGGTGTAATACTTGGTAAGGGGAGGAAGAAGAGCAGGTGTTGTTCTTCAGTACCATCTAACTTAAGCCACTAGAGCTAGTTATTAGACTTAGCATTTTCTGTACACCTTCCTGTTCGTTTGGGTTGTCATGTTGACCTGAGAGATATCAGCTTGATGAAATGTTTTCTTTCAAAGTTGCAGTCTTTCAGGTGGAGATAGTCCAAACTCCTGTGCATTGGTCATTTTCAAATGGTGTTCAAACTTCTATGTGTTGTGAACGTAATAATGATAAGACAGGAGAGAGTCTTCCTCTGGCTTTTCTAGTGGCATAAGACCACCTTCCAAGCATCAGACTTCCACAGTTGTCTGTGTGCCTCCAGTTTACTTTCCAGCTCCTTGGATTCTTGGCATAGCTTGTGTAAGCCACCAAGTGCCAAGTTAGCTCCAACTTTCCTGGCTTACCTATTTCTTTGAAAACTTTCTAGCCTGCAGGAGTTGTGTTGTCAGTCATCTCATTGATCTGTTTTGCCACAGGGCTTCCTAATCTATCTGGATACTCTGTGTTTGCGGCTCAAGCAGAGATTTCGTCTCTGCCTGCATGTCATCTCTTAGACCGCTCTGGAAATTTTCCAGCTACTATTTTAATTAATTTCGAAAAGCCTCCAGCTGATTTAAGTCTTCTTTTAATTTCATCTGGTCTTGTTTTTATCTCTTTTTACCAATTACTATTTCTGAGAGATACCTTCTTCATTGATTCTATTTTGGTTCAGTGGGAATTCCATCTCACGATTCCCTTTCTTGAAAACTGGATGCCTCCCCTCACATGGTATTAATCCATTTTTACCTGAGCAGTTAAACAATTTACCAAGTCTGTGGGCTGTTTTCTTCTCAGCTGGATAGAGAATTCATCCTCAGGATAGGGTTTTGCTTTGATATACTTCCATTTTATTTACAAAGAAAGTACAGAGTTTTATTTCCTTGAACAAAGACAGAATCAAATAACAGGCAATAACTCCTTTTTTCCAAACCTCATTCACTCAGTGTTTTACCCTCAACCTCTCTTTCAGCTTTTCTTCTACCAGGATCACAATGCTAGTCTGTCGAGCTGTGCTGGTGGTTTCTTTATTCCTTGTACACAATTTTGCTGCTTATCTGGATTAATCATCTTGCCTTGATTAATGCCTCTCTCTCTGCATTAAGCATATCAGTTTCTAGAGAAACTCATGGGTCCATATGCTTCACGTTTCTCTCATTTTTGATGATAACTTCTGTAATTTCAGTTATCAGGCTCCATAAAAGAGTTTGCTTGTTTCTTATATTTATCTTCAATGAAAGGTGATGATTTGGTCCAGCAGCTTCAGTGAGATTTCACTCAGCTCTTTCACATAACGCTATTAAAATTCAACATCTCTTT